TAGTTCACTCATAAAGCTAAAGTCCGCCTGCTCTAGCAAAAAATGCCCACTGTGCCACGATCGCTAAGAAGTCGCTGTTGTTGCGGCGCGATCGCGACCAACTCTTATTTTTGGAAAAAATTGGAATTTGCGATTGCAACGTAACACGTTTTCCTTATAGTGATCGCGGAATCATGCCGCAATCGATAAGAAGTCACTGTTGTCGCGGCGTGATTGCGATGAAGTCTTACTTTTCGAAAATTTGTAATTCGCAATCGTGAAGCGGCAATATCGACTTCCGAACGTGATCGCTGTAAGAAAAAATTGTCACACCGCGGTCACATTTAATCGCGACATGATACAGTATCGTGGCGCGTCTCCCGTACAAATTCTACGTTGAAGTTCAAAATGATAATAAATACCGTTCTTAGGCGTAATGATATGAGAAACGGCCACTAGTCGATTACTTATCTTTATCGAAAGCCCACTGGTACTGGACGGTGCTTAAAATGGGCTCCCAAGTCCACTTTCTTATTGCATGTCGCGACGCGAGTCTCTTTAAAAATTCACGGCAGAATCGCGTAGCATGTTCGCTGTAAGACTGTGAAGTAAGACGCGTTTCCGTGCTCATACAAAAATTAATGACTCTCAAGTATTTTACTATAGTTACTATTTATTCATGTTTTCGGTCTAATATCAGTAAAGGAGCCATGCTACTTTTACCGCAAACGCAGACGAATGCCGCACAGTTGGCATTTTTTGCTACAGCAGGCAGACTTTAGCTTTATGAGTGAACTAAAATTTCATGAACCATTTTTTTATAGGTTTTTCATGATCCTCTTTCTAATGCCATGAGAGTTGGGTTTTGAAAAAGTTTTCTAAGGAGTTTTCCAGAGATCCAGTCTATGGAAAACCTTTCAGAAAACTTTCTCAATATTTAAAAACGATGCCACTGCAAAGAGCATTGTCGAAAACCTATAAGAAACATGTTTCGAGCCGTTTATTCAAATAGACTGTTAGGGATGCAACGGTAACCGTAACGTTATGCTAATGTAACGGCCAAGCGATGCAGTTGCTATGACCTTAGACGTTTTCTTTGGGTAGTTCTTGCCCAAAATACATTGCAAAAGAATTGTAATCAATAATTATCCATTCAAAATAAAAATTGAGCTTGTAATCTTCTAAATGCACTTAGACTACGTTGGTAATTTGAATCAACGTAGGATTCTGCATAAGATAAGTGCATTTAGAAGATTAAAGTTCAATTTTATTTTGAATGGATAATTATTGATTACAATTTTTTTGCAATGTATTTAAGGCAAGATAAAACTGCTCTCAAAAAACGTTTCTAGAGTGCTTCAGGTGATTTTTCAGTTTCAATTTTGCTCAAGAGAAAAGTCAGACTTATTGTATGCAAAATGAGAAGTTTTCTTTACTTTCAATTTCTCGACCCGTAACATAAGACAAATATACGTTACTGTTCCTCCAAACGATATTATTTTCGAGTACAAGCTTAGTTCAAGATAAGTAAAAAGCTTTCGTCCCGGGTTGCGCGGAGGAAGTTGGAAATGTTTTTTCAATGTATGGGTCAAGGTTTTTGAGGATTATCCAAAGACTTTGCTTGGATTCTCTTTCGCAAAAACAACTCTTTTGCTCCACATCTAAACTTCAGAGTGACAGTACATGTTCGAAAAAAATCGCACGTTTGTTCTCCAATTTTCAGAGAGAATGTGGATCTAATCCTTTCAGGTCAAAGATTCACGATTTCGTTGTATTTTGACGTAAACCCGGTCAACGTATTACGTCCATCGTAAATGACGTCGTTTACGTTGAAATACGATGGTCTTAACTGCTGACGTAATACGCTGACCGGACTTACGTCAAAACACGACGAAATACTATAGTATAGGACGGTCGTAATCATGGACCTGGGCTGCTAATAATGAGATGCGTATAGCTCAATGTCCTCCTATTACACTTACTACATCAGTACAAACTCCCGATAAATGAGTTGCGAATGAATAAGCTCCCTCAGATTGTCCTAGGCTTCGTCGATTACCCCCATTTCTTCTCTTTTCAGAAAATGAAAAAATTATCACCGTGTTTGGCAATGCTAAGACTGAAGATAATGGTCGTCTTATTGTTAACGATTGGTGTGGCGGTGAACCTCTTATTGATGGAGCGACGGTTTATTCATCATATGCGGATTTATATTGAATATACAGATAATTGCGAATCATATGCTGGCATTGTATCTCGACAACATGCAACACCACACGGAAAAGAAATGTTTCCATATCGTATAAAAAATGCATATAGTTGGAAAGGAATGTATAAAAACTTGATCCATTTTTATTACTAAACAAAAGAAATGAGTTACACAGGAGCTTCAAAAACGTGTTCTTTCACTCAGTTGTAGTAATAAAGTAATAGTCGACGTCTGACAAGGTTCATTTGTAGGCTTGATGATTCGGATCCATGCCGGTGTACACGTTGCACTCAACATAACATTAGCTAAATAAACCGCGAAAAAAATAATGTGTGCATTCAGCTTGTTTAGAATGCTTTCCTCCGCCACTAATACAAATTAAATAAAATAAAAATTAGGACTATCTACATTCGAATTTCGACAACCAGACATTAGCTACTGTTTACAGGCAATATAATTTATTTTTCTCTGCCAGTCTCTGGTTCTTAACCTTGAATACCGATGAAAAGAACTTAATTCTCTAGAAAAGCCGTTGAGCTGCAATGGGCCAATCGAATAACGTATCGACAGTGACACTAAGAAATTTTTATTTGAGTAATTCTCAAAGTTCTTTACCGAAACTTTCATTTTTCGAGACGACACTATACAAGCCATTCGTTTTATTCTTCTCCATATAAAATGCGTATTCTATTTCAACTGAACTGGTAAAACGAATCAGCACTAGATCAACCTTCTTATCTTCAACTCATAAACTTGTTTTATCTTGATCAATCACTTCACGTAATACTTCAAGAATTATTTTCATGGTGTTATTATTTCTTTCATGAGTCAGCTTTTTTATTATTATTTAGTAGTTAGTTAGACGGTTTATATAGACGCACAAGTTTTCACTACATCGGACAAAACAAAATAAAGTTCGTTTTGAGTTGCTGAAAACTGGTTTTTCTTATTCAGGACACTCGCTAACCCAAAAATTATTGTATTTTTGACGAGCGGTACACCCGAAAATTTTGCAAAAATTTTCGAAGTAAATGGCGCAAAAAGTTATTAGTTTTCAAACTTTTCTTAAACTTTTGTCGGTACCCCTCGCCAAAAATAGAAAATCTGTATTAATTTGATTCTAATAAAAGACGGTGTTGTTGACTGTTATGGTGCCCTTGACGAAAAGAACTTATTGTCAGATAATCATAACTTCGAAAAAAGATACAGTTTTACTTGTCCAATTGCACAGTATGATAATCGTATATCATATTTAAGTTTATGCATTGTCATTCTTTGCCTGAACCACGAGGACGGCGATTTATGCTTTCACCTGGATGGAAAAAGCACGCTGACATGTTCTGGTTATACTGATGTAATTACTATGTTTTGACGGTGACTGCAAATAAAATACTAGACGTAACCATATTCTTGATTGTAAACACGGTGAGCATGAATTTTGGTGCAAATTGAATTCTGATGCGTGTGACAACTTGAATTATAGACTCACGAAAAAACTTAAAGTGATAAACACTACGCGCACGATCACAATAATAATATACCCTTCAATAGATAGGTGCGGCACAGACGGACGAACATTTTGTTTATATGACCCTATACTTTCAGTCAAGGGAATAAAGCACATCCAATAGTTGTTCATTGAAGATCACATCGTATGAGGTTGGTATCAGCAGGTGACATGTGGAAAATTTTATTTCTGACGTTTTTTGTAGCGGAACTAAATCTGCTAGATGCTTCCTTCATGGTGGAAAGTGCTAATTATTAAAAAGTAGCGCTTCCAAGAAATCCATGATGTTTTAGGGGTATTCCATTTTGTTCACAATTTAATTCTGTACACTTTTTGTTCTGGTTTCGAAAGTCTAGGATGTCTCCCTGCTAAGAAAAATAGTAATCAGACCGATTTAGAACAAATATTATCATCAATCAGTGTGATGCAGCTATTGTAGGAGAAGATAAAACACAAGTAATGTGTGCATAACTCAGATTCTTGTGTTATGTAATTCTAACAAAAAATATTTGTTATTTTAGAAGTTTCCAACATCACAAGTTAGATAAGAGCAAGAGCAGCAAATTTAGATGGCGGTGACGTTGATTTTAACATGTAAAATTGAACTTAGATTTTATCATTATTAACTTTTGTTCGAATAATATTACACACATCATTGTTATTTTTGAAGGAAGAATACAAAAGCAGAACTGGAAGTATAATGCTCAGGGTTTTTGTGTCGCATTGATTCGCTACAACAGTAGTTTTTCTGAAAGGAATAGAACGTACTGCTGAATAGCTAATTGAGCTTGCAGATATGTCATGTACGTTTTTAATTCTTTTGATAGGGTGTCCAATCATCTCTTTCATAGATCGGGACGGGACGATGCACTAACTGCATGTGATTCTCCGGTTCAGAATTTTTTCTAATTTCTTGTACGTCTTAGCGTTTTGACCTACGGAAAACAGCATATCTGTCCTACACATCAGAATTGTTCCAAAATATCCAGTATCTTATATTCTGGCACAGAGAGTTTGAGCATGTGACTTTAGTTTTAGATAGTTGATGTAAAAATGAAGTGTAGTCAAATGTCAAACGTGGTATTGCACAAAAATATTTTCATTTCGTCCCTATAGAGCAACTGTTTCTTTCACAGATGTTAGGCTTAAAGTAATTTGTGATGTGTTCCTTGTTCAATTTATAGATCGCTTAATTGACCTACTTCACTGTTACAATATATTTTTCTCGTATAAAATGATAGATGACATCAATTTTTTTCATGTGAGAATACATAATGCGTTTTTTATTTTGCTTACAACTCAAAATTTTCGTCTTTCCAGGTTGGTTCATAATCTTCTGGTAAAGTTACTACACTTCTTGGATATAATTTTGTGTTATAGTGTTTTTGTTCAATCATTTTATGCGATTTACTATAATGTTTGATGAGCGTATGACGAACAACCATCCATGCTCGTCTTTGATCTGGCGGTGCAACCATCTCTGCACATGCTTTTCCTACTGTAGATTGTTTATTTAAATCATTGTACCAAGCTGAATGTTTTTCATTATAATATTTAGCTGCTGGAAATATGCTCACTGCGTCGTCGTCATCACCCATGTATACAGTTGCAGTTGTCCAACGTTGATAACATAATTCTAAATTCGGTGTGAATATTTTGTAATACCTACCACCATGAAATGCTTTTGCTATGTGATGTGTACTTTCATGAGCTTCGACTAAGATGGGATCGGGATGGGCGCAAACGCATTTACCCATCGGACATTTGCACGGATCACACCATTGTTCGACATTTTCTTTTTCGTGAGGTTCTGGCCTACTGCATTTGGCACCACAGCCGGGACACCGGCTTTGACAACCAAGTTGTTGAGAAATACTTCTTTTACAACTTTCAAATGCTTCGGATTTCATGTTTTTCGTCAATTCCATAACTCGACTTGCGATGTCATTGTAATAATTGAGAATATTTTGTTTAAAGCCTTTCTTAAATCGCTCTGAGTCTTGAATTGGCATCCGGACTACCTCGAATAATGGAAAGACGTCAAATAATAAACGATCATACCTAACCTGAGGATCCAATATATCGAGTATTGCATTATGTACATGATCTTTCACTACTTCAGTATCCTCACAACTGTCAGCTACAACAGTTTCATTGGCTTTGTCAATAGCGGCTGTGATTAACTGTTCTAAATTCAATGTATGATTATGCGTTACAGCATTCAGTGTCGTTTTAATTTCTTTTAAACTTAGTTCCATAAAATATCGATTAATATCATAGACATATTTAAGGATATTTTCACCATTTGCTTGACTAATACTTTGTTCATAAGCTTGGTTTTGAATTGCTTCATGGTTGATAAATTGACTTCTAACTATATCTTGTTTTACATCACTGTCAATTTTCCGCAGTACTATATGTCCAATTTCATCGATAATTTGTTTTCCAACTATGTTGGCAAGATTTTTTCCTTGTTCGAATGAATCTTTCATTGCATTATACTGTTTAGATAAATTTTCTTTGCATTCTTTCATTTCTTTCGTTGACTTTTGCATGTTTGATTCATAGTTCGCCTCTTCAACGGCAATTGCTTGATCAATTAATATTTTAAGACCAATGACGACTAAATCCATACAAAGTTCATGTCGGTTTAGATATTTTTGATTGTTTGTGACGATCTCATGATTGATCGCGTTTTCGACATAGGTGAAGAGAAAATGGACGGTTCGAGGATTTGATGATGACGATTTGGCGTTACTGATCAAATTTGAAACCTCCTCCTCTATTTTCATTATTAAATATTTTAAAATATTCACAAATATCTTCTTGTTCTTGTCTGATTTCTTATTGCTGAACCACTCTACGCTGTGCTTTAAATCAGACCATATCGTATCGACGTTCTTATCTCCATGACCTGAAAAAAATGACCAGAACTTCCGCAAAATATTCGGATCGGCTGGGTTCGCTTGCTTTTTTAACTCAGACCAACAATTAATAAACTTTTGAAAGTAATGTTTGTAACAATCATTATTCAATGGTTGTAGTAGATTATAGATACTATCTTTTGTTATGTTTGCTGCTTTACTTTGGCAGTCTGCGTTATAAAATTTTAAAATTTTCTCCGTTATTTGATTCTCTGATTCTTTTGACGATAAAAGATCTTGATAGTGTTCTTTTAGTATTCGTTCAAAACTTGCTTCAAGACGACTTTGTAATTCATCCAGGCCCATGGCTTTATTTTGATCAAACTCTTGTTGCGCAGCATCCATCAGTTTTTTTTGAGCTTCGTTGATGCGGGTCCTTTGTAAAACTTTATGTAAACGTTCATAAAATTCGTCTTTCAACAAATGTTGTGTGCATCTAATAGGCGGCTCCATACGCCTTTCAACTTTTTGTTTAACATCGGGAGGATAACAACTTCTTTCAGTACTAGAAGCAAATGCAGCACGGGCTTGGTCCAGCGTGCGTTGAAAATTCAAATTTAACTGTCTTACGAATTCTTCGGCAACCTGTGTGCGATTTACAATACAGCTGGTTGTTGAAATTTCAGATAGTACTTGACTAATAAGCTGCTCCCCCTCTTGATACATAGCAACATTTTTTGTCTGAACTATTTCTGAGGCTATAGTTTGCAGTTCATTCATAATTGACAATTCAAAAAGGGTCTTACATTGCAATAATTGTGGACCCAATCGATCGATTGCATCCAAATTACTTGAAATTTTTAAATACAAATGTGACATATCCGTATATACGAGCTCAACTGTTGATGTTTCTGATCTTCCACTTGTCGATGTTAAAGGTGCTTGTTCCTGGTCAACATGCATGAGTTTCTCGAATATCGTTTTACGTAAACTGATAATTTCTATCGGAAATGTTTCATTTCTCCAGCATTGCCGTAAATTTGTTATCGCATTAACATCATGTGAGAACGCATTTGGCAACAGAATAACACTGTTATCTCCAATTTCAAGTTCTTCTTCTATTGATGATTTTAAAAATTTACTATCATTATACAGATTTTCTTTTAGTTTCGCTAGTTGCCGGAAAAATGTTGGAGATGCATGCATATCTGCTTGATCACGTAATACAAATAACAATTTTGGCTTAATCGGTGCTCGAATTTGTAGTTTAGCGTAAAAACTCATACCGATCAGATTCTCTAGATTTGAACTAAATTCACCTTTGTGATTGATAAGTACGAGGTGGGAGGACAGCATAGCCATTGTAACCATTTGATTGTCAAATATTGAACCAGCTTCTTCTAACGATAATAAACCTTCGGTATCAAATATAACAATGGGCTGTGATTTCCATGAAACAACGCTCATATACATCCCAATTGTACATCTGCCTGCACTAACTCGAAAATTACATCCGAAAGTTGTGTTTAATAATGACGATTTGGCCGATGATTGTTCACCAATGACAGTCAAAACGAGAGGTGGTTGGCTCGTCTGCTTCAAATATTGTAAACATTCTTGAATCAATTTGCTTTTACAACGTAAAGGACGTCCTCGAAGAATATGAAAAGCGAAACCTTTGTACATCAGTTTTACTAAATGTTCAGCAATTTCTTGGATCAAATTTTTGGAAGACGATGGCGTGTGAAATAGGTTTGGAAGAAAATCATACAATGCCATAATTTCATCACAGAAAAGGCCGACTGTTAGATCAATGTTCATTAATTTACTTTCCATTTCTGTCATTAATTGACGACGTTTGTTAAATTCAGATTGAACGATTTGTAGCTGATTATGTATATTTTCCATTCTTGAGTGATTACTATTTTTCACTTCCACTGAACGTTGTTCTTCTAACTGTTTCACTTTTGAACTATATCTTAGAGCTTCGTTTTTAGCAGCTGTTAATTGTTCGTGTAATGTTGATTCGAACTTTGAACGCCACTTTTCTAAAAAAATTTCAGTCATGAGCAGTTCAATATAAGAACGTTCTGTTAATAATTCAATGAAAAAGGCTGTGTGAATTGAAATTTGGTTAATCCTCTGTCGTTGTTCTCGTAAGTCTTGAAGTTTGACATTCAGTTCCGTTTGTGAGACATCCAAATTTTGTTGTAACTCTCTTTCACATTGCTTAATTTCGGAATCTAGATAACTAATAGGCGTTACTATAAATAGATTTTCAGTTTCACCATCTAGCCCGCCAAATAGATCGTGCAGACGATTTTCGATTTCAAAGCAACAAGCGGGTGGAGGACTGACATTGGATGACATTCTGACTGTCGTGTAATACCACTGAATAGCAAAAATTGATGTACATTGTCTTTGGCCATGTATTTTTGTTTCTAATGTTCCTAGTGCTCTATGAAACGATTGTTGTACACTCTGTGCACGTCTTGCATGCTTGAACTTTGTACTGGCACCGATTCCGCTTGATCCTTTAAAAATTGGTGCCGTAATCCAAGTCACATTGGGCCAGTTTTGTGTTTGATATTGACGGCGGAATGTATCACTTATTTTATCTCCTGTCGTTGGCCTGTCTTCGTAATCAGTATCAAATACGACGACAATTGTTGGCTTTGATCTAACATTGTTTGAATAGTTCATGGTTGAAGTTAGGAAAGAGCTATCAATGTCTTGTTCCGTAACGTACAAAATTTGTAATGAGCAGTGTTCTTGTGTGGCAGTGATAATATCTTCGTTTAATACATTTAAAGTGCCATGTACGTCAAATACGACGTATGATTCATTTTTCTGATGGCCGATCGTTGTTCCAAATAATACGTCAATACAACCAGCACGAAGATTCTCATTCCCTTCCGTATTTAACGATTCACTGCGTTTATCTTGAAAAATATATTGCAGAATGCTTGTTTTTCCCAATCCCATGGCTGAGCTACTACCAGTTTGCAGAAGATATCTTTCAGAGTTTGAACACATGGTTTCAGCAAGTAAATTGAAATTTATTTTATATTCGGCCATGTTATTGAATTTATTCCACGTATAATAGGCAAACGGCAGCGGTAGGTCATTCTTTTTGATAAAGTTTCCCAAATAACGTTGACTTTCATACGGCATAGATTCTATTGTTGTTGTTAATAAAACTGATTTTGTGATCGTATCAATAATGTTAAGAAATTGTTCAATTTCATGTTTACTGTTACCGCGATAATTATCGAGTCGTACATCGGCGCACACCGGTAAAATGTGCATTAGGTCGGACAGACTATGATAACGTTTTAAGCTGTCTATCACATATGATTTTAACGAACGAGTTTGGATTATTTCTTTCATTACAGTTTCTGCATCGAGTGGTTCATTGATCAAGGTGGTAAAACAGTTATCAAGTGCGTTGGAGCCTAGCATTTCTTTTGCCATGTAGGAACAGAGAAACGTAGCCCATTTTCTTAGAACTTCGTAATCTTCGATATTAAAACTATTTAATCCTACCGGTTCCGAATACACGCAATTTTTATCTTGCAGTAAATAACTGATATCAACTTGTGTAACAGTTGGGATATTTTCGTTTTCTGTTGGACAGTGCGCTGCAGAACCAGTTCTTACTAAATAAAAAGCCGCTTTCAATACTCAGAAACGAACAGCGTAAATGTGTTTCGGTACATAGGACTTTTAAAGATCCACAATATCTAACGATCCAATGGGCTTAGTAGTCTAAAGATTAAAGCCTAAAAAATACTGCTTGTTTGGCCATAAATTCGTAGAGGCTTGTATTTCCTGGCGTAAGTCAGTAGAACCCTTGGCATGAAAATCTAGTCTTTAGTACAAAGAGAGTCTATGCCGGAGATTTAGGATCAGTCACCGATAGCTAAATATAATTTATGGTGGCTAACTTACCTCGCGGAAGAATTGATTTTTTCTCTGGATACGTGTGAACTTGGAAAGAGGTTGAGTATGAATCTGTATCGCTGGTTTTCGAAGATGACAAAAGCTACACGAACCAATAACAGCAAGAACATTAATTAACCTTAAGCTTTTTTTATGAATTCCTAATGTTGTATGACCTACTTTTGGCGAAATAACGGATGTAGTGCATACATCTGAAGCATCAGCTGTTCTTAAATTTAAGTCGATTGATTCTGGTTGTTTGATCACTCTAAGAAATAACGTGCAAGCGGATTTAATTTAAACCTTTTGGTGAACTTAAATGCTCTCTTACTTTAATTTGTTTCGTTCATTATTGAAAATAATACGATATTTCATTGGCGGCATTAATTCTTTTAACATCTCAAGGTCCAAACCATCATTTAACAGCAGAAAACCATCAATTTCATTTACTAAATATTACATAGATCTTAACTGCTGTTTGTCACGTAAACGAAGCCAAATAGGAACATCGACACCAAGTAGCACTACACATTTGCCATTAACCCTTTACACCCCATAGCGGTTCCAGAAGAGCCACTGATAAAAACACCAAAGAAATAGAGTATTCGCCTCTACAATATGCCAATGGTATGGGCAGATCGATCAGGCGCACTACCTTTTGTGCAGGGTAATTTGATAACTACAGTAACCATTGAGGCAGAGAAAGGGATGGAACGACTTCAAAAGCCCTACTTCTTTTCTTTTTTACGACAGTGTTAATTAGGCAAAGGTGCCATCTATTCCTTTTTATTTGACTAAAATCAAAAAAGAAAAGCTACGTATATAAAAAGCAATTTTTAAATACCACATGTATTTTTGACACAGAT